ATGCGTTTTTGTAAGAAAAATATCCATATTCAAAACGTAATAATCACTTTAATCTAGCTTGCACCAACAGTTGTACACAGAAGCAGCCCCGGGAGGATGACGTAAGATGTCGGCGTTGTGCATGTGCCGGTGAGTTTCGTGAAAACCAATGTTTGTTTTCAGGAGCAAAGGAAGCAAAGTTTCCTTACTTTAGCAAAGGAAAACCAGTCTCCTCTTGGCTTATATCGAAATCATCCGACATTCTTCTTTACAAATCCTCGTTTTGTACTTCTAATTCGTGACCATTGTTTTGTTTTGATCTCTACCCTGCGCTTTCTTATTTGTCACTTCTGAGCGGCGCATGTGCAACACCGAAGTCCAACGTCATCTGCCCAGAGCTGCTTCTGTGTACAACAGTGAGCACAAGATAGATTAAATTGATTATTAAGTTTTAAATATGGTTATTTTTCTTACAAAGACACATCGATTCGCTACAGGAGGCCTTTGTTCACCCCCCGGAGCCGTGTGAGGCACTTTTTTTTTATGGATGGGCGATTTTTATTTAACTTCTTTTGGACTGATGCATGCAACACCTGCTGAGTGGCATTAAACAGCTTGAAAGATCAAAGACAATTTTTTATATAACTCCGACTGGATTCGTCTGAAAGAAGAAAGTCATATACACCTAGGATGACTTGAGGGTGAGTAATTTGTGGGCTAATTTTCATTTTTGGGTGAACTAACCCTTTAAGTAAGGAGAAGCATTTAATTTACTTTCAAAAAAGCATTGCATCATTTGTTGGACAGTGCCAAACCTGCATTTTGTGAGGACCCAGATAACACACGTACGTCTGCAAGATGTCTGTTAAAGATCACTTGATCTGGAGAGCCACTGCTGTGCACAAACATCTGACAGACGTCTTTCAGATGTCAGTTTTACGTACATTCTAAATCATAAACATCTTAAAGACATCTAATAAACATCTATTTGACATCTAATAGGAAACGTCCTATTAGATGTATTGCAGATGAGCAAACACTCTAAAAAATATGTCTTGCAGATGTAAATGCAGACGTCAAATAGACGTCTCTGTGATGTACGTGTGCTATCGGGATACAACATTTGCTTGCTCTGTGCAAACTCAAATCCACTGCTGTTGTCGGCAAACAAGGTATGAATATTTACTGATGTAAACTATTACAAAAATCTATCATGCTTCAGCCAGAACAGCACTTTAGACTAGTCTTTATTTCATTTCGTTTGAAAGTTCATTGAGGCTTTTTGGTGAAGGTCAATGAGGATTAATTTGTTCCTATTACATAAGAGGGTGATCGAGAGTCTGTCTCATTTATTGGAACATCAGCTAATTCACATGCAAGATGTTTTGTGGAAATTCAGTTTGACGTATTTTTTTATGTCTGTTGGAAAGCGCACAGTTGGAGAGCTTGTATTTTTTTCACACCAGTTCCCGTTGTTGACACACTTTTTGTGTTTGCTGAAGCTAAACACCACTGTCAAAGCACTCAGGCCATGTGGACTGTATTTCTGGACACAACAACTCTCATTTGAAAGCAAAATAGACTGAATAACTGTGTTAGTTAATTGCAAGGCTTTTGATGATGCATCATCAATTTTGTTAAATGTTTGTGTATGGCATCTGACGTTTTTCACTTTGATGAGGTCAGTTTGTTGTGTCTGCATGGGTCAATATGGAGACACATTAAGCTTTGTTGTGATGGTGCCTCTTAGAACAACTGGTCTGAGACTAATTTATTCTGACATACTGCTTTGATGGCTTTAAAAAGTCTTGTGGCCCTTCATAACAAAATTACTTGAAAAGTAACCTTTTAGTCAACCTTTCCAAGGGGTTCGCCGGCTTTCTTCGCTGGGTAGGCCTGGCATGGGTTTTGAAAATGTAATGACAATAACGACTGTCGAATTTAATGATTTTAGCAGAAGGGGAAGAAAAAGAGAGTCTATTTTGCCCTTTGTCTAAAGGGTTCTTTCATAACGATGCCGACCAAGCTTGGCAGACCCACAAAGATGGATATTTCTAGTCGCCAAGGGCCCCATAATGTGCTTTCTTTAAATATTGTCTAGATTTCCATCGATCAGATTGCAGCCCAGTCTCTTTAGGCCTATGAAAGAGAGCTTAAATGTCAAAATGAGACTTCATATAGAACTTTTACATCTGTCATGTGAAGTGGATTCATTGTGGGGTGGGGTTTCAAATATTAGCCCCGCCCACTTCCGTATGTGTGCAATCCTCAGAGATACAAAGGCCTTTACAACCTCCAGAGGGCCTTTTGTCTTTCCTTCTGTCTTTTTGAGTGAGTTTTGTTTTTTCCTGATTTGCTTTCCAAAGTCTTGCCAGGCTACTTGCGTGACTAGAGGGAGCGAAAAAAGTGAGTCTTCAAAACCCATTGGCACGCGATCCCTAATCTATTTTTGGAGCACGCTCCTTTTTTCTCTCAACTTTAGACACACACGAAAAAAAAAAAACAGCCAGGGGAAGAGAGCCAATTGTAGGGTTGAAGGGGTCTGGTTCTCATTTCAGGCCGCCCTGCTTCCCTGTCTTGCCCTGCCAGAGTGAGAGCCACTGCAGTGAGGAGAGAGAGGCAGGCAGGCGGGCGGCTCGGGAGGTGAGCAACTGGGGCCCGGGCTCCAGGCCTGCCACTCAGACACTGTCACTTAGCAACCACCTGCGGCTGGTTCTCATTAGTGGCTCCAGCTGCTTGTATTTCAGACTTCCACGCTTTGCTGTATTTTGATTCATTTCTTTTCTCTCTTTTGAAGGAAAGGAGTTTGCCATGATGAACATATGATGCTTGGTGTGCCTCAATCACTCGCAATTAATTTTCATTAACTAGAGTCTGGCGTGGCTACTGGGTCCAAAGCTGACAAGGGCTAATTGATGACAATACTTATGATTTTGAACTCATGGACACTATTCTGCGGTCAAGTATAGTCATCTAGCATATTTTCTCAGTTTGACTCAATGAGAAATTGAAAACAGTTCAGATTATGTTGAATGAAAAAAACAGTGTAAGATCTTTTAGAGGTCACTGTTTCTTTGTGTGTTTGAAGTAAACAACAGTTTTTGATAAAGCACTTGAATGACCGAGCAAAGGCATATTTGTGAGTCGGAAACTCTGAATTGTAGAAGATTCATGAGGTGGATGGAGTGTGTCGATTTGAAACACTGTGGAAACACTGATCTATAAAATAGGTAATATTATATATCTAAAATCTATATATAGAGCTCACTGGGCAAAAAGCAAATCTATAGTGAATTATAATAAATGATTTTGCAAGCTTATTTTAATTTTACATGCTGTATATTCAAGTTGTGGTGTACGAAACACCTGATAAGGACAATTCACACTGCGACAACTTCTGTGTCATGTTTCTGAATTGATATGTTATCGTAATATTAAATGCTTAACTAAGAGGTACAAGTGTTTCCTACTTATTTATTTATTGACTAATTAGCCTTGAGAATGGTGTACCTACAACATTTACCAGCAGGGGTTAAATGCACCGTGCTAGCCAGCCAAACCAGTAGATTAAAAGTGCAAAAACACCAAAAATCACCACTCTCAGTGTGCTGTGGTAGGAAACCATGGTCTAAAACATCCACACATTGTGATTTGAATGTAAGGAAGTGCACTATTTTTGAGGCCTAGAGGAGATAAAAATGATGCATACAAAATATATACACATCAAGTTTGTTTGTGCTAGTAGTACATGTCCACCTGGTTCATGTACTCTGCTAATGCTAATGAACTTGTTTTTAATCTAGTCTAGGATGTATTTTATTTTGCATTTGTTTTATTCATGGTTACCTGCATCTACCTAGTCTGGTTTATTTCTACTTATAGTGACAGATGAGCTTGCACCAAAGTAGAGTCTGAAAGTAGAGTCAGCAGCCTCTGACGTACACACAAAAAAAGGAAATGTTTCCAGCATACTTTTAAAAAATGTACAAAGTTTTAAAAAGTTGATAAAGTTTGCTATCCAACCTATCCACTACAGTACTATCTGGTTAATGACATTTTAATATTTGTGTTTAGCACTGTTTTTTTTCACCCACCATCCACCATGACTCTTTCAGAACAGACCTGTGACCCATTTTTAGGTTGTTGAGAACCACTGTGCTGAATGATAGAAACCACTACTCAGTTTTCTTATATGGCAAAAATTAACTTTTCAAATGTGTTTCCTTTCTTAAACACACTTTAGGTTCAGTTAAGGTGCTCTCTGATGACTTGTAAAAACGTTTGCTTGATTAACTTGATTAAGTTGCAGCAACTGGTAGGCTACATGTGGCAAGCCGCTAAGGCTGCGCTGCATATATCAGCAATCGGCATAATACAAAAACAAATCACTGGGTGGAATAATAAACTTTACAGCCCTGTATTTACCTGTATGTCCCCAGTGGACCATTTATATATTATGTATAATTTTCATTGAACCCCTTTTTTAGACATTCTTTTTTTTTTTGTCACATTGTTATTCTTGAGCAGATACTGTGTTGATCTAACCTTGCTAGTGCAAGACTGGGCTATTTTCCTTAGTTCTATATCTCCATGGGACTCTGGGTCTCAAACTGGATCAGAGTTTTGGGTTGGAGAAAGAGAGTGAGATTGATGGAGTGAATGCGGATGGCTTCCAGTCCCTTGGTGATGTGGAGAGAGGAGAGAAAACGGGAGAATGATTGTTTTGTTCTCTCTTCAGAGAAAGTGCTGCTGCAAACAGTCTAAACAGAGAGGAAAGAGGACATTAAACACTCTGATATCCCAGCTACTCCACTGGACAGCTGGTCATGTGACTCAGCAGGCAACTTAATCCAGCCACTCTCTAGCAAGACTGGAAGTAATCTAAATATGAATTTTCACAGAATAGGCCTTTTTATTCCTGCTGCTGCCTTTTCCATGTGGTTATCGTCACATTGGCCTCCCAAAAGATAAAAAACAGGTCCAAAAATAGCAAACTACTTTTTTCTCCTCTCACTGCTGTATGTAATAAATCACAGATGTAATTCTATAACTTCTAACCTAAGCAAATAGATAGATGAAGATGGTAATTCATACAATGTTGACCAATATCTCTAGCTACTTGTTTAAAAATATTGATAATTTCGATTTAAAATCAATTTCAATAAATTTTCACTTAGTTGAAATCCTTGCAGACAAAATTTCTCATTATATAATATCTCATCTGGTCCTTTTCAATAGTTTTGTGAGCTATTAATGCCCTGCATCAGGTGATAAAATTATATAATAAAAAGAGCTTATAATTATATTATATTATATTATATATGACTTTTTAACAATATATTGCATTTTGTCTTGTTTTTTTTCTATTAATTCTTTTAATCCAACATATATACAGTATATCACTGATAACAAATGATCCTTATTAACTCGTGTTTGTTTTGATAAACAGGAATGTTCATTATGGAAATTCTATTTTTCCAGGGTGTGACTGAGCAATTATTCTGGGCTCCCTGTGAAAATGCCGCTACAAAGAGAAACAACAGTGGAAAATTAAGAACAATGCCAGAATCTCACTTGGACTGGTAGTAAAATAAGGTAAGCCAAGTTTAACTTTTTTTTTATCTCAGTCAGACCATTGAACACTGTCAGGCGTTACTCTAGAGTGCTGTGCAAGTCAAAAAAGCAGGGAAAACAGGAGTTTCGTACTAAAATACACCATTTCAGAGGAGCAGCGGCTTACCAAGACTCTCAGAAATGACTATTATTGCTTATTCTTAGGTTAATGATTTGTTCTAAACTCCTTAAAGGGATACTCCACCCCAAAATGAAAATTTTGTCATTAATCACTTACCCCCATGTCGTTCCAAACCCGTAAAAGCTTAGTTCGTCTTCGGAACACAATTTAAGATATTTTGGATGAAAACCGGGAGGCTTGTGGGGGTCCGATTGACTGCCAAGTAAATTATACTGTCAAGGTCCAGAAAAGTATGAAAGACATCGTCAGAATAGTCCATCTGCCATCAGTGGTTCAACCGTAACGTTATGAAGCGACGAGAATACTTTTTGTACGCGAAGAAAACAAAAATAACGACTTTATTCAACAATTCGTCTCCTCTGTGTCTCTCCGCATCACCGTAGCACCATTTTAAAAGAATATCCACTAAACGCAAGCAGCGTACGCTCTTCTGTGTCAGCCGCGACACAAGGATCTCGTCGCTTCATAACGTTACGGTTGAACCACTGATGGCAGATGGACTATTCTGACGATGTCTTTCACACTTTTCTGGACCTTGACAGTGTAATTTACTTGGCAGTCAATCGGACAGTCACAAGCCTCCCGGTTTTCTAAAATATCTTAAATTGTGTTCCGAAGACGAACTAAGCTTTTACGGGTTTGGAACGACATGGGGGTAAGTGATTAATGACAAAATTTTCATTTTGGGGTGGAGTATCCCTTTAACTTAAATATTGAATTGTGTTACTTAAATCTCCTTGGAATTTTGTGCCATGAACATAAATGATACCTCAAATTGTGCAGCTTATTAAGAACATTTTTAAATATTTAATTTAATTAAATTCTATTTTTTTTATATGATGAATGATAAAACTACCAAAATTGACTCCAAGGGATGACAAGACCTCAGAACACCTTAGCAACAACCTTGCAACCATGGCACACCTGACCCCTACAATGCTTCGTGAGATTTTTCTGCTGCTAATTAAAAGAATTTATTTTGCACCTCTGATTGCATCTCTTTAAATCTTAATGAGGCCATCAGATACTCTGCGCTCTTAAGCATTGCCTGTCAAAACTGATCGCTTTCATGAATAAAGGCACATTTCAGCTGAAACATGCTCTGGGGTGTTTTTTTCTGCGCTCATGTGAAAGTCATAAAACAGGTTACTCGACTCCCGACTGTTTTATTACTAAATTCACAAGTGAAAATTTAAACAGTTTTGCGATAAAGTGAAAGGGAAAAAAATACATTAACCCTTCAAGAAAATAAATCTGCTACGACTTCACAGTATAGCAGCTGGAGCAAAGCCAACGTTTAATGACATTTTAAAAGCAATACAGACATGGAGGTTAGAATAGCGCTAAAATCAAGGGCTTAAAAGAGAACTCTTTTATCCACGGTGGCTAACAATTAATATGATTATAAATCGGCTCAATAACAGCATAGAAGCAATAACTTGGTTACAGGCAGGGTGGGCTGAACTTAAGAAAGGTGTTAGTGAAGAGAGACGCCAACTGTGATTGCTATTTGGAAAGGCCCTGTGAGAGAAATCCCATGGAGTCAGAAGACTAAAGTGTGGAATCGCTCAGCCAATATCAGGAGGGTACAGTAAGTGGAGGCAAGGCCACTGTCGGAGGAATTTTTCCATCTACCTATTGACACAGTGTTTGAGCTGCACAAATATGCTGTATTTTCTTAAGGAGCACTTATAGACTGTTTATGCTTCAGAAAAGATGAATTGGGTGCTGACAACAAATAGCATGCAATATCAATTTTAAACGGTACGCTTTGTAACCAGTAACAGAAGTTACCATCACTCATGCATAAAGACTGAATGCAAAAAATAAAAAAACTGGTAGTGTTAGCAACAAACTGAATGAACTTGCAAAATGTAAACAGTAATTCTACTATGACCAGTGCCTACATACAAACATCTCAGGGTTTTTACGGGTTTTATGAAGGTAAATTGAAGACTTTTTGAGACCAATTAGATACGTCAATATGTTCTCTAAATGTAAAGGGAGTGCACAATGAGTTGAATTAGCAACACTTTTAAGTTTAAAATTCAGCTTCCTACAGATTTCAATTAATTGTTTACAAAAAAATAGCTTAACTGTAGTATGGAAATAACATTAACTGGTGATGCTGTTCCTTAGTGTTTTTGTCATGTTTTCCAGTGAAAATCTCTGAAGGTTCTATAATCAAGATATAAATTAAATGCAATTTTTTTTAGAAATTGAGCAAAATGAAGTTAGTTTGTACTTAAAACATAAACAAATATCTGCCAGTGGAGTCAGAAAAGTAAACTTAAT